ATATTGAAGGTTCTCTAATGTAAGCTCTATTAATTAATTAAGGGCGGTTCCCTTGGCATGTTAGATATTTGACTAAATAATCCAACTTTTAATAAAACTGTTTAATATGGCGAAAATGTTTAGATAACAATGTATATCCGCAGTTTGATCTGGTCGTCAATGAGTGCTCTACCAAACTAATAAGTTATATTTATTTCTAAGGTTGGCAAATAAATAAGCATTATGCTGGATGCATGGATCCTGCAGAAAAAGTATTTTTATATGACGATTACACAATCTCATTGGCCGTCTGTTTTTTGATAGCCAAAGAGATTGTGTATTCGGAATATGAAAATGCTTTTAATTTTTCAGCAGGTTCCAAGGCTTCACCATTGTGCCATCAAAACAGTAACTGAACAAATGGCTTAAAACTTTTCGTATTTTTTCGTTTCAAGATGGCAAACCTTAGGAATAAATATAACTTAATAGCGTGCAGTGAGTGACGTCGCCCGTAGCACTCAACCAGAACAGCAGAAATGCATTGTTATCGAAACATTTTTACCATAATTATTAAAAAGGGTTATTAAAAGTTTGGATCTTTTAGTCATACACAATTCATTGTCCTAACCGAACACAAGTTTACACGAACAAAAACATAGAAAAGCAGTGGCCAAACTTCCCATGGCAACTGCATGTTCATGCATGCTATATGCTATAATAAAGTAGACGTAGATAAGATTTGCATAGCATGACCAGTAGTGCAGAAGGGAGGGAAGGGGCTTTGAGGGGCTCAGGCCGTCTTGTTAAAAGCCATCCTGGTCGACTATCGCTGTAGATACGGTTTGCGTTTCCCCTTAAGAACAATAATAATGCATTTATAGAGCGCATATTTTCATGAAAAATGTTCAGATGCAGCCGCTGTATAAGTCCAAGATGGGAAGTTTATACTTGATGGATTACAATTTCCTCTAATTTGAATGGATTCAAACTCATGAAAAGGAATTGTTTTTCCATTTTAAGACAACAAAAAGATTACAGTGTTGCAGAGATGTAAGCGATCATAAACAGAGATAGCTCAGTTTCGCTGCCAGTGTAGGCCATAGTCCGCACTCGGTAGTTATTAGATGTTAACTATTATCTCACACCGATGCCTGCGATGAAAATGTGTCAAAGTACTTCGCTACGAGCAAATAGGAATACATGCACTTTCTACTTTCTAAATTTCCAAGCAACTACGTCAAGTTCGCGCCGCATACAGCTATACACAAATGTATACTTTTATAGCACCATGATCCAGTGAAAAGATTTGGTCACGGTGTTTGGAGCTGTTTTAGTGAATTGCAGTTCCAAGGAAGGCTGCTGTCATATATTTTCTGCGGTCATCCTGCATGATCAAAGCAATATAAAAACATTTCCAGATATTTCTGTTTATTTACCTCGTCGGCAAACAAATGTCTTGCTACCTTTTATATCGCCTTTTCGTTGTCCAATCTAAACCGAAGCTAACATAGTTATTCTTTCCAAGGATGCAGACAGTTGAAACTCTACAAACTATTGCAATCATGTAGATAACGATAAATAGGCTATTCAGTGGACAGTTCACATGGCGTTCATACGATTCCGCTTGCATCTCCAATGTTATAGTCGTTGACCGTTAATCGCAATCGTTGTTCGTCTTGCAAGTATCCAACGAGTGGCAGGGGGGGGGGGGAGAGGACAACTGCCCCCAAGATTTTAGAAAACCATGGAGTTCCGGCAAATGCTAGGAAAAATTAAGAAAATTCGGGTAAATTTATCAAAAAATATGTTAAAATTCAGGTTATTTCATTACAATATCCTCCATAAAAATTCGGGCAAAATTTCAACTCCGCCCCTCGGAAAGCGTCGGCCCCATACGTCTATGGAACTGATGAAGGCTACCTATTGGTTATGCGCGTGCCCGGCTGGAAGACTTTGGCATAAATGCATGAAGACTAATTCGCTGCACTATCATACATATTTTATACTTGCATAGTCGTCTTGTTGATTTTGACTGAGACCCATATATCATCCTATAGATGCATTTTTCGCAACTGCTCCTGGTATGTCTAATAAATATATAAAATGTTCCCTCGAATACAGTATGCTAAATTCCAAATCCCACTACAGGGTGTATAAAATAAGTAGACAATTTTGAAACGGCTCTCAATCCGTTCATGTCATGATTTTTTTTATAAATATAGATATTTTGGGTATACTTATAATCTACAGGGTGTATAAAAAAAGGAGACCTTTAGAAATCAAGCATATTGTTAAAATTTGAATGCCATTTCAATTGCACATATGCTGAACCGTGGTGCGTGAAATATTGATGAGTGCATATATTAGAAATAGGAGACCTTTAAATCAACTATTGTTATAATTTGAATCCTGGGGCACTTTGCTAAGCCCACGAGTGCGTAACATGCGATCTACAGGGTGTATAAAAAAAAACGCAACCTCGGAATTTCCCAAGAAATCGACATGGTTTTAAAGACAAAAGATTTTAGGCGCCTGGGAATTTAAAATGTCAAAATTATTGCACAGCGAGTGCATAAAGCAAAATTTATGCATTTATTTAATGCACAACAACAGTAATAAGATCTATTAGCAATTCGATTTCAATTCCCAAGGGCTTAAAATCTTTTATGCTTAAGAATTGCAAAGTGATTTCTTAGGAAATTCCGAGGTTGCGTTTTTTTTTATACACCCTGTATATACCATTTATATTATTACTATTGTTGTAACAATTAACACCGGCCCTGCCTCCATTAGCTAGCTATATATTGGCATTGCTGTTTGCGGGTACGGCAAATGAACAATAAATCTTTATTCTCTAATCTTTAATACAGTATGTGTCAAGGGAGGGCACGGTAGCACATTGAACTCAAACTTTCGTTTGCTCTCAAAAAAAAAGATCAGGCTAAAAGCATTCGTAATTTACTGTTCAATTTGGCTGTATTTTTAGCTTTTACTGTCCAATTGAGGCAGATTTTTTACATTTTTTTACTCAAAATTTTAGTTAATAATGCATTTATGAGGTATAATTACTGTAGTCACTTTATTCACAGTGGCTGATTTCCTTTGTTGTTTGATTAGGAGGAATTTGCCCTCCAGCTGTGTCTGTTAAATTGACTATTAAATTGATCACGTTTCAGTTCACATTTTAAAGATTTTTTTTACAGCAAATGATATGAGTTATAAAAATATATAAATTATAGGTCCATTCCACTGAATTTCAAAACTTTTGTCAAAACCTTACATTGTCAGTCAGTTATTCAAATCATTGTCCATTGAAGCAGCATCATCTCCCTTGACAACTGAGTGAAATCGTCTGGTGTTGGACAGAGTAAAATAATAGTACGGTGCATTTGGGCACATTGTCATTGCAGCTTAATGGGTTACCAACACACATTGGCAGATTGTTTATTTTATATCATATTAGACCAATCTTTCCACACTTTCCCAAAGATGCAAACTCAATATGATATGTGTTATAAAACGTCATTATTCATTAATGATCCATCATATACAAATTTTAGCGTCTCCATTTGCAACCTCGTACCCAGGGTATTTGCTCTTGGGAACTAAATACCCTGGGAACGAGGTTGCTCCATTTGCAGGGTGTTAGCTACAGTCAAAAATTCCGCGTTAAACGCTGTTTTCCCAATTACAATGTGGGAAATGCTGTTTCAAAGACACAAAAAATTGTCGCAAAAAATTTTGATATGTCCGGATAAATTTTTGGACCCCTAAAATGGTACACTGACCGAAATTTTTTTGAAAAAAATTTTTCAGAGAAAAATATTTAAAATACATTTCCCAATTTCAGGTAAACGCGGATTTTTTTTACTTCTGGCTAACGCCCTGATTTGTTACCTTCAAGGCATGAAGAACTACAGATAGATATCATAGGACAGTTACGTATAGATATCACAAGACATGTCTGCTGACATGTCATTCGTTAGCTATCCTGTATGGAACGTCTTAACCTTTTAACTGTATATAAATTTGTAGATTTGACTTAATTTATGGCCTGTTCATATGAACTGGGCAGGTCCGTTAGACCAGAATAAATAGCGAGCTTAGATCATGCACAAAATCTGCGATGCATACGCAACTAAAAAACAGTCGGTAATAATTGGAGACTAGTTTTACTATACAATTACTTTATGGTTTCCGTGTTTGGATGGCCTGATCCAAACATGCTGGAATGTTGCAAGAGTTAAGAAAAGCGCGCGAAACACGAGCCAAAGCTTTGCATGCTTTTTTTAACTCGAGCAACATTCCCAAGTGTTTGGATCAGGCCATCCAAACACGGAAACCATAAAGCAATTGTTTTATAAAATAACAACTTTCCGTATTAAAATTTCACTTTAAAAAACTTTCACTTTAAATTTCCGTGTTTAGACGGCCTGATCCAAACACAGGTTTCGACCAATCAGAGCATGTGTTATATATACATGTTAGTCATGTTATTATATAATTTGTTTTCCTTGTATCCCTGGCTTTGTTTACCAACAACAATCCACAGTCAGCCCTGACTGGAAAGTTTAGAAATTGCACGCCACAGATTTCGAAAATTTAATAGTAAATATATAGAAAGCATCAAATTTGTGCGCCAGAGATATCCGCTGTGCGGTACAAACTTTCCACACTGGCAGTCAGTAAGTTTCACCGGTGAAGTGACACTGATAATAGCGGCAGTTTCTTGTCATGGATGTGTCATAGATAATACTAAAGTATGGTACATTGCTAGTCAATGGGTTAAATATAAACTCATAGCAAATTATTAAAATATTATGTAACACGAATTTTCAACGCCTCGCTTTTAACACAAATCACGGATATTGTAAAATTCGCTTTTAAATTTTCGTTTAAATTAAAGCTACAAATATCCACTAAACAACAATGGTTACATCTAAATATCTCATAGTGTATAAGTTCACTAAAATCTAGACAAGAAAGCTTCATGAAGTTGTACATTACAAATATATAAACATACCCTTTAATTTGCTGGCTTTGTTCTCGTTGGTCGCCGTTCGTGTTGGGATAAAAGACAACAGAAGTACAACACAAAACCATTTCATCTTTATTATGTTCTTGTCTACATCCAAGTACAAACACTAAATACAAAACACAAAACTTAAATATATTTTACTGTACAATACTTCTTTTGCCGGCAACGGCCAGCCCATACTATTAAATACCCCAGTACTTGTACGTGTTTATAATATAATCATAGAGATATAATGATACATGCGATATTGCACGTGCGATTCAGTTGGGGGCGGGTTGGTCAGGGTCAAAGGGCTAGGGCGGGGGGTAGGTGGTACTCAAAAGGTTTTTTCCCCTTTACAACTGTGGACACAGAATATAGATTTCAGACTCGGGCGAAACCATTGTTGCTTTTCCCGAATGTTTTTCATAAGTCAACGTTGTTTCATGGTCATAAGGGTCGTAAAAATAGAGTCACGATCTTTCTCAACGACCGGTTTATAATCAAGCCGCAGTGGCGTAGCTGGCTGAAAAAAATCGTCCCGCCGAAGGCGGACCCCTCGCACCGCAGGTGCGACCTCCCTAGAGGGGTTCGGGGGCATGCCCCCCCGAGAAAATTTGAAATCTAGAACCTCGGAAATGGCATTTCCTGCGATTTCGAG